TTTGCACAGACGTCCCCAAGTTCACTGATGGGCTATAAATGCCTTCTACGTAGGCATCTGCTTTTCACACGGTACATGGTTCACAGATGGAGTGATCACAGTATTTTATATATCTACATTGGCACAGACTAAAGCGAGGTTATAAATCCAGAAATATGTTTAACTGGTAGTTTCTTTTTGCTGAATGCATTAGAAGTGTTTCTTGAGCAATTATCCATCCAGTATTTGCATTTTCACTTTTATTTGCATGTCAAGTGAATTTCTGTCATTAGGAAGACACCAAATGGTTTTTCAGATGTGAGATTTCATTACGCTACCTACAAAAACAAAGGGTGATTTTTTTCTGCATTCTAAAATGTTTTTATTACTCTTTGGGTCATTCTCAACAAATGTTCATTCTTTCCAGTACTGACTACTTGTAGTAAGTTCGAAGGAATAATAAAGAAATATCCACGGAGATATTTATAGTATCTTGAACTTAAGCTCTGAAGACTCTGAAGTCTTTGTTTGTACTGTCTTATTCCATTTAATAATACTTAATGTATAGTAGCATATAGCACAGTTCTGCAGTTTGGAGATACAGAACAATGATACAAGTGTTTGGTGACTTGTGGTATAATTTTAGCAAACTTTACATGTGCTCTAAAATGAAATAATATTCTTGGGCTAAATAGAATGATGAAGTAATTGGTTATTCCACTGCACAGGTGCTTATGCCATATTTGATATTTAAGATTTCTTATGCAGTAGATGGCCTTACTTTACATGTGACTGACAGAAGCAATTAAGATATTAAATCACCCTCTAATTACTGAGGCAAATGGAACTCGTCTTGCCCCTTTTTTTTCTCTTCAACTATTGTCTTACAGTTTTTTTTTAGCTGAAGGATTTATGGTAGCTGAAGAGCAAAGTAGAAGGGGAAAGAATTGTTTCGAGTTCTAACTGTGCAGTCAGTCAGATTTGTTGAAAAAAAAAAACACCTCACCTTTTCTTCAGGTGCTTTAGTGCTTGTGAGGCATTTTCTTGACCTCAGATCAAATGGTAACCACTCCTTACTTATCACCGCAATCTGAGCAAACAGACAGAAAGCAGTACCATCTCCTATGACCAGTCTGGTGTCACAATTGTGAGCCTGTATTCCAAAAGGTAAATTGTACAAGGCAAATCAGAGAATGTATAAAGATCAAGCAGGTGCTTAATGTTGAGTATGGAACGTTAAAGCTTTCTTCAGAGTTCTGATACTGAAGTGCTGCTTATGCTCCATTTTACTGCTTTGATGGCTTTTTACAGTATTAAAAAAATTATTATGTTGACCGTTATTCTTGCTTTGTAACTTTGCTAAAGAAAAGGGATTGGTAAAAATAGAAATTAAAGGGCAAAGGTAATTGAACTGGTGCAACTGGGAAAGTTTTGTCTTCCTAGAGAATTTTAAAAGTAGAAGGAGATAAAAAGACTAGGAAACTGAGAAAATAGTATATGCATTACCAAAAATGAGCAGCAAGAACTATTGGATGATTTAAACTTCACGTCCTTTAGTATTCTTATTTTCTGTTTGCAATAATAAAGGAGCTGTAAGCCACGTTCTTCAGTTATTGATTTGTTGCTTGTCTGTTCCCTGGGAAAGTCAGATGAAGATCAACATGACAATATTTATAGGCTGCATCTCATCTGTGGGATGCAATCCATCTTCGTTAACTTCAGTAAAAGTGATAGATAGCATTTGGCAACGTAATGATGTGATCGCTCTACCATTGCCTTTGTAAATCATAAGCTGTTGCATTCTCTTGTGTAGATATTTAATCAGTTATACACCCCATTACTGATTTAATTCAGAATGTCAGTGGCAGGTGAATAATGTGAGTATTTGTATATTAATATCATATTGTATTAATGTTCCTTTCGCTTAAGTATGCTATTCATGTGAAAATCATAAACTGTTGCTTCACGGCTAGAATAAATTTAATCAGTGCTGTAGGCATCTAATACCATCAGTGTTTTAATTCAATATGTCAGTGAAACAAATGTGTTTCTTTTCATTTCCAGTTTCTTTATGCTTTACTAATTCAGCATATTATATGATGTTGTGAAAATATGAAGCTGAGAGTAAACAAATTGCTAATTTTTATCCCATCACTAGATTATGGGGCTGAATGCCCCAACTGTAGCACCATGTTAGGATAAGTGCATATTTCTGGTATGTTTTAAAGCAACTGAATATCTAATGATTAATTAATCTAAAAAAAGAACAACCCATGCACTCTAGACTATTCTTTAAGTAATTGTGAAGTAAGTAAGTATAAAATAATATCAATAGCAACCAGTAATGGTGTAACACTAGAATGCATTTGCTTTGGAATCTTCTCCTGTGTCCTGTCTTCAGCAATATGAAGTTGCTAGAATGTTTTAGTTTTAAGGAACAACCTGAAAGAGGCTTGAGGAGTATTTCTAGCATCATTTCTGTCCTAACTTGTCACTTATTTTATCATGAGTAAAAGGATTTCTATGAATTTGGGATTTCTTCACTAACCTCTGAAATAAGAAGTTTATTTTAACCCAGAGGCAATATAAACTTAACAAAAAATACTGATTAGCACTGATAACTTACTATACTGAAGACTTGCCTGAGTAGTATACTGATGGTACTTTTAGCTCATACTGTGTGCTAATAAGAACAAAGTTGTATTTTCTGTTATAAAAATTTATCTAAATCTTGGGTTGCTTTAGCTCCTGCTCTCTAAGTCTTGTGCCATTGACTTTAGAGCCACCTTAGCTCGAGATTTCTAAAAGTATTAAATGAGTAACTCTTCTTTATTGGTGGAGTTCTCAATTCCCTAAGTAACACATGCAATAAAACTATAAGTTTATTGACAAATAAAAGAGAGTGCTTAGTATAAATCCTTGAGAATTTATACCTCTAGGGGAACTAAGCAAATGCACTTGGTGTGTGTGAAGCACAATTTTGTATTTAATTAGTGGTTTTGTTTTCTCTTGCATGAATGCAATGGAATTCCTCTGAATGTTTTGGGTTTATGATGATTTTCAGGTTTTCTTCTGTCCCATGCTGCTTAAAACTGTGTGCTGGCTGTACATCAGTCATAAGAAGTATTCTGATGTGATAATTTCAAGGATATTTTTTACATGTCCTGAAATATGGCTTGAGAAAGTTGTGTCTGAGGTGTGGAGATTTCAGTGGTTGGGAGGTCACTGTGGGGAAAAGGAAACAAAACCTGATGGGGTCTTGTTTATATTCCCAACGGAGGTTTGTTTTGTCAGAAAGAGCAGCAAATTTTTGCCAGCGGAATACATGGGTTACATCCCAGAAGGAATTAGTGGGTTTGTTGCAGAAGGTTGCCCTGGTATAAAGGAACATGCATGTGGTGTGGGTGTGTAGGGGTGCAAGATCCAGGAATGAAGGAACTCACTTCCTCAGTTTGGAGCAAAGAAACCACAGAACCTGTAGTTGATAAGAAGCCTCCATTCAGGCATGTTCTAACTGGTTTTAAAGTACTTCCGTAGGTGTTTGCACCTCTCTCTCATGATGTTTGAAAGAACCGATTGCCTTTGATTTCAGCCATTGATTTCTGAAACAAGAAAATAAAACCTTCACTGTATCTCAATACGGTTTTGATGCTGCGAATTCGAAATAGGATAAGGCAGCCAAATATTGCATTCAAAGAATGCGATGTAACCCATTGATCTTTTCAAAAAACAAATTTCTTATCAAAAGCATAATCTTTGCAGTGCTCGGAAGAGTTTTTGTGATTTTCAAGTTACCTTCAATGCCAATTTTAAGATCAATCACTTTTTTGAGTTGTGAACTAAGACATGTTTTTTTCATCAATTCTCCCTCATAAGGCAAGTCGCTGAGACTTCTCTACAGATACATCATGAAAATGTAGTCAGAAGATCTCCAAACACTTTAGAAAAAAATACAAAACCCTGATAAATAATACTTGGTCTCATAGTTTTGATTTATTTGCCTCAGTTTTGATTTAATGTTAGAGCTTTCAGTGTGATTAAACTTATTTTGTGACTTTCTGTTCTGTGTATATGAATTACATGGTAAAAATTACATCTTCAGCAAACTTGAATGTGAATCGTAATAACCAGCATAAAGTAATACCTATTATGTTTCTAGGGTTTGGCCTTCTGTATTTCATTAATAAGCTGTATGAACCTTCTGGTCTAAAATTATTTTTTCTAACAAAATAATAAGTGAGGTAGTCAAAGTACGTTTCAATACTAATACAAAAATAATGGTAGGTTATAATTACTCCTATTTCTCACAGTCTGTCACTTTTATATATTGGAATCAGATACAATTTATCTTTTCCAGAATTAAATGTATGCTTTAGGTGCTTATTAATATTTGCTTTTATGCCTGTCTCACAGTTTTTAATGTAGAATGAACAAGTGTGGTATTGTGGCATGTTAAAACAGTGTATCGATGCTGAGACCTTCAAAGTTGTTGGTTTGTTCCGTATTTTGTGGATGTTTTTGAAAGGTCTATGCAGTTAGTAACAGGAGGACCCTTTAATCCCTGGTAATGTAATATGTTTCTATGTTGGAAAATACATTGAAAGATAATGCTAAATAACACGAGTAATTAGCAAAAACATGCCCAAGACTTGGCTTAAGTGATGCTTGAAGTGGCGAATAAATTAGAGCTGTCTTGAATAAATGCTTATTATTTTTAATGTATTATCTGGGGACACTGCAGCAAAAATAATTTAATGAATGTTAGAATTGTCAAATACAGTACAGGGGTATTAATAGTGATCTTGCTCTCTATTTTTTTAAATTAAATTTATGATTAAAAGGTAATAAGACTTTAATTCCAGTATAAAACTAAACTGGCGAAATGCTAGAAGAACTGACAGAGTCAATAGGCTGAAATAACTGAACACTGTGATTCTGCAGGATCAGCTTTGAGGAAAAAGAAAAATAAAGACCTTGTTAGAAGGAGTTTCATTCGCTCCGTCTGTAACCATGTCTTCCAGATGTTGGGTCAGTGGAGGGACTTGCTTATCATAGAGCTTGGGACACTCTTTATTGGACCAGTTCCACCACATCCTCCATCACAAGACACACTGTTGACCAGAGACGTCGAGGGGCTTTCAACCGGGAAGCAGTAATAACAATGTCCGAGGATGATCATCCCCACGTATTGGCTCTAGATGAATGTCAAAAGTATGTATTATATCTTCCTTACCAGACTGATTTTTTCCAGGACATAACAGCACTTCTTCATTTCACAGTCAACTAATACTGTTGAACTCTGTGAAGGTTGAGTAGATTTCTTCATTTAGAAGACAAATGTTAGTATTAATTTTTGTTAAAGGAAATGCAGAATTAAGTTACAACATTTTATGTGAATTTTATGTTTCAGATCAAATAATCATTAATTTTTCATGGAATGTTAAAATATTCAAGCAGGTTTTAGGAAGAGTGACCCAGATGCAAAGTATCAAGAGCCGGTTAGCTTAGTCAGTTAGAGCCTGGTGCTGATAACACCAAGTCGTGGGTTTGATTCCCGTTTGCTCCCCATGTGTTGGCTGATCTTGTCAAGAGGTGACGTCCCTGCCCATGACAGGGAGGTTGAATTAAATGATCTCTAAGGTCCTTTCCAGCCTAGGCCGTTCTATTATCATTCCACTGATTTCTTTTGTCAGACCTATTATCGCTTAAATAAAAACAAAATTATTTTAAGCATTTACAGTAAGGAATCTGAGTTTCTTGTGTGGCAAATTGATAGGCCCATGTGTTTATCACAAATATCTGTGTTGTGTAAAATTTATATAAAAAGAGATGTACATTTACAGTGCTTGTGGACAACATCCAGCAATAAGTCTAATTTAGTTCCCTTCCTGCCACTCTCAAGAAGACTGTGTTTCCTAGTCAGATAATAGGAGAGCTCATATTTCTCCTTCAGTCTCTTCCTAATAACTGTCTTAGAAATCTGAGTTAATCTTAATTCTGGAAGAGAAGCAACCTGCTTTTTCTGTTCTTTTAACAGTCTCCCCTTTGGGAGCTGCGTTAAGTTCTATTTCTAAGTTGTGATAGCTGAACTTACAATGCTGTGTGGGTAGTCAAGGGGGTTGTTTTCCTTGTGTGCCTTCACATACAGTTTATGCAAATGAAGAGTTAATATGCTATTGTATGTAAAATACAGTTTATCTTGGCACCATAAATAAACCAACTAAATACCGATGGAGATTGCTGTGAGAGAATGGGCAGGTTCTGACCTGTGTATAAGTTACAGCTCATTGCATAACATTTTGTCCACCGTTGTTTCGCAGCAACAAGAGGCAAACGGAGCCTCCTGTAGAGGATATTAAGGTCGCTTGATACCCCATTATCAAACTTGTGCATCCCCATCCTTTGGTCTCTTTTGCAGTTCTAATGTGGGAAAAGCCGTGGATTAATTTCACCGTTAGAAATGGCTAACACATGCATTAGCAGAATTAAGTTTATATTGTTACAGTTTATATCTCTCTGTAAGGGTATTAGCATAGAGACAGGATCAGAATTGGACAGACCTAGCAAGAGAAGGAAAATCTGTGCTCGTATACAAGTTAATGAACTAGGAAACTGATATAATTTTTAGAATTCTGGCAATTACATTTTTTTATTCATCGTTGATTATCACAGTAACTTATAAACGTCATTCATAATTGTCTGTGAAGGCATTTTTTTTGTCTGTTGCTCATTTCATATAGAATTAAATTATAAAATATATCTTATGATTTTGTTTGTTATTTTGATTTTAATGCAGCTTAATGTTTTGGACCAACTGGAATGAACAACTCCCAAGCATCATGAGATCTACCCTCTCAGGCAAAAATGCACAGGTTATCATTAGTACAGATATTCTGACACCAAATGGACTTACCATTGATCATAGGGCAGAGAAACTTTACTTTTCAGATGGCAGCTTGGGAAAAATTGAGAGGTGCGAATACGATGGATCACAAAGATATGTAAGTAAAGCAAAAATCCAAAATGTGTTCATTGTAAATTATGTTATTTGCATCTTTAAAATGAAAATGTTTTAGAAAGTTCATTACTTGTCCAATAAGTTTCTCCTAATATTAGCTGTATATTAGATTGAAAAGGCTTCTGAACTATAGATAATGCTGTGTTTACTCAGCATATTCCATTTTCTGGTTGACCTCCTGGAGATGCAAAGCCTTACCATAAAATCTCTTTGAATTAATGTTGAGCCTTGTAGCATCACTAAATGATATGTATCAGCTTGAAAAAAAGATTGTAGAACTATCTTCAGTGGAAGAGGTAGTGTTTACATAGGAGGATTATCGTTTTCCTTCCAGTGCCAAAGTTTTCTGAATGTGCTAGAATTTCTTTTGTATGATGCTCGTGTGTTATTCTACAAATCTCATTTTCTGTTCTAACTGTATGTTTTCGGATATATTCAACCAAGGTCCATTATTCTTTTTTTGCCATATGTTTTGTTCTTCGAGTGCTCTATTAGTTTCAGCTTGAGTAGACCTTTTGCTTCAAATATGCTGAAGGCAGGTGATCTGTGCTCATGATTTTGCTGCGTATTTAGCTCTACCTTTCTCATATTTCACGAAGTCTTCCTTTCAGGGATATTGTACCTCCCAAAGTGCAGGATAACAGGAATGAAAGGCGTGTTCTGGCTTGTTTGATACATCAGCTTGCTTTCATATCTATTAATGTAAAAAAGCCTCCTCATATACTGCATAAAAGCTTAAAATCTCTTTGTGTCTTAAATGAAAATTACATGTTTTTTCGGAATCTTGTCCAGGAGAAGTTACATGCGTTTTTTTTTAAAAATTATCTTGTCAGTGCAAAATAAGAGTGCCAAACTTGTAACAGCAGAGCAGAGGTAAAATCAGGATGACTAGACGTAGGGTTTTGCATAATTTCCTTTCTCCTTTTGTTTTCAGTTATATAAATTAACCGCAGCACACTAATGTTTTCAGATGCACTAACTATCAGAAACTGGACAAACCAAAGCTATATGGATTCTAAAGCAGACAGTCTCTATATATTAAATATATACGCTATATATTTACTGTGAAAATTGATTCGCTTTCTGGGGATTTTGCTCAGTGAATCCACCTGTCTATCTGAGACTAACACATAGAAGGCAGTCGGTGGCTTTCCTTGAGGTTTTATTTTGTCATTTGGGAGATAAAAATGGAATTATCTTTTGTTCTTTCATATTATCCCTTGGTTTTTATCCTTTAATTATATTTTGATTCTAAATATTATACAAAATCTATACTTACTTTAAATTCACATTATCCAGTCACTTGTTTTCATCTACATTATTTAATTGTAAGTTACAAACTCCTGTCTTGAAGTAAAGTTCACTGGTCAATTAAAAATTGACCAGTTAAAAGACAAGTGCGTATTTTATATTTTTTCACAAGTAAGAACTTGTGCTAAGACTTTATGTTTCCTGCAAGTTTGTTGCAAATTCAGACACTTAGGCTGGAGCTTAAGAATATGCATAAATAGTTCCATGCATGCCATTTTATTCCAGTTATTTGCCTTGCTTAAGTGTGTTGCCATCTCTGTTTACAAAGTTATTTGTCTGTGTCACTGCTATTTTTGTCACATTTATTAGGGAAAAGAAAAAATATCTCTGTTAGCTCATCAAATACCTCTTTCTAAGTTGGATATTCTTTGTTCCTCTTCTAATTCAACAGGGATTCTTACACTTCTTTCAGTTAGAATTAGTAATTTTTTTTCTTATTCATTTTGGCTGCATTTCCACTTTCTGATATAGATGTCTGTCTTGTACTGCTGTTTCTTTTCCATGTTGCTGTCATGTTTGGTTTTACTTTCCTGATCCTGTTTTACATAAGTTTTTACCATCCTGGTGGTTAAATGTAGGGTAATTAGTAGTTTATGCGGAAACAGTTTAACTTGGTTGGTGCATAGGGTAGAACACAATACACATCACAAACGTAAAATGGAAGATGGTACATCTCAGTTGCAGAAACGATTACAAAAATCCTACCTTTTTGTCGGACCTCTGGCTTTCAGTTTGCATCAGCAAGACAAACTGGTCATTCAGTTTTCTCATTGATCTTTGAAACTTCTAACTTCTAAGCGACTCTTGGTTTGGCTTTCTGTCGTTTAAACTCTTCTTCCCCATTGCAGTAAACAGGAAAGCTCCTGAAAGCGATAAGCTGAGCCCAGCGTGCTCTTCTGAAGGCTTTTGGGGAGCACCATTGTGTTACCTATACAAAAACTCTGCTACTCTCACTTGTCCTACACCAGTACCTGCACTGGGGGAACTTACTGCCCCAAGTTCTCACATAGTGTGAGCTTTGAAACAGAGTTGTGTGTTTCCTGGGTTCTGAAGGCGCTTTTCCTACATAAATTAGATGAGGATTTTCATGCCAGAGGAGGAAAAAATTAAAATGAAGAAGAAAACCCACCAGGCTGCTTCATTGAAATCTGTGCTGGTCTCGCTGGCAGTGTTTCAGCAGAGTTGCTCATCACCATGTCGGTGCATTCTTACTGATACAAGACTGCCAGAATCCAACCAGGAAATTGTTTTATTGATCTAGTGAAGTCATATTTCCGAGGCAGTTTTAGTTTTTTTTTTTTTTCTTTGTTCATGTGCCATCCAGCTTGATGAAATCTCTGATTTCTGTAACATTAAGATAATACGGGAACTAATTGTTCCACCGTTCTGGTGATCTGAGATTCTTTAGGGTGTTTCAGCAGGTCCTGCGGTCAACCACCCCTCAAAAATTCTTGAAACAGATTGCCCTCTTCCTCACTGTCTCTGCTTCATGGCTTCCTGGTTTCACTTACGTTAACAAAGGTAGAAATTCTGTAGCAGAACGTGAAATGCTAATGGGAACGTAATGAATTTTCTCCCTGATAGCAGCTTCTTCCTTCATTCTATTCACCACAATAATCTAGTACAATGAACGGGCAGAAAATAATTTAGCAGTGTTGAATTGACTCTTTTAAGTGGATTGTAAGAGTTTATTGATTTTGTGTTAAGCTGATATTTTAATACTAGTATTCGGTTGCTGGAGTTCTCTTTCAAGTTTGGAAGAATTTTTTTTGTTCCCTTTGTTGCTTTTTATTACTTAGAAGATATGCAGGGGATTTTATTAACATTTCTTGTTCTACTGATTAAAAAACAAAAATGGCAATTATTTTTTTCACAATTCCTTCCTCTTTTTTTCTTCCATTTTTGCTCCTGCCCATGGTTGGATTTAATATTGTGGCCACAGCTGGTTTTATCTGCTTAGTGCCTTAATTATAACATTTTGTTCCTGAACACAGAGACTGAGCCAACAGCAAATAAAGCTAATTTTATGGTTTAAATATATTTTTCCAGTAAATGGTGAGATATTTTGGTTTTTTTTCCTTTTCTTCTTCAGTATTGAATATTCTGTAACATTTTACATATCAAAAGCCTAGAAATGTAGTTAATTTTGTGTAAACAGCAGTCTAACAACCAGATTGAAATACTTTGGTCTCAGTTTTGTGGGCCTACAGGTGTGATTGTTAAAATCAATACGGTTTTGCATATCAGTTTTTACAATTATTTTACAAAATCAATACAGTTTTACAGGTGTCTCTGTATTAGTTGTGGAAATGTTCTGTTCTTGATTCTTCTGAAGAATTGGTAAACTTACAAATGTTCTCTTCAGTACCAGATTTTTTCTTTCTCCTGTCTTTAACCTCCCCTTGCACCTCACTCCCACTGCAATTGTTTTTTTCTTTTTTTCTTCTTAACATAAGATCAACATCACAGTGTTGGAAGGGCAGAATTTGGATACTCCAGATTAATGCCTGTAGATTTGTTTATCCAGCAAGAGACAGGGTTTTTGCTTTTTATTAAAGCAACCATATCAATAACAAGCAAAACAAGGAGTCTAATTATATCTTTTTTAGGTGGCTAATTCAAATACATAAGTTATGACTTTTTTTTTTCCCTGACTGTGCAACTGGTTTTCCTGTACCACAGTCTCATTTATTTTTTCCCATACATACTTTCTCTATACTCTTTTAATAACTGTAGTTGTAACTGAAGAATAAATATGATATAATATTGTATGCCTTCCATTTGAAAGAATAAAATTTTGATTAGCGTGGTGTTCTGTATGTTGGTTCTGTCAGAGTGAGTTTTCAGATATTTATCTTAAATGTTATCATTACTTTTGCAATGTTTTTACCCTCCAAGTGACTTTATATTGTCATTATTTTTAATTCTGACACACAGAAAGAAGAACATGTATGAAAGTATTTTAGAGGAGCTATACATTTAGACTTGGATTAAATTCATTGTATTTCTGCACTTTTCTTTCAAACTCTACTATATAGTGAACTACAACTGATACATTCTAAGTTTTAATCTGATAAGTGTTATGGTGACTGAGGAGTTTTTTTGTAATTGGACAATAAAACACGGTCTTGAGTCCAAGCTTGTGATGCTATCATGTGGTTCATATGATGCTGTCATATCAGTTCTGAAACATGCTTCTTGCTTTGATACATAAAGACTCAGAATCTTTAGATTTTCAGCCGTGCTCTTGTTGTCTTTTCTGTTCAAGCTGTTAAGCAAGTGATGTGTTGTGTAAGTATTTTTGCAGGCACATTTAGATAAGCTGTTTTTTAATTTAAGGACCAGATGCCTGGATTTCTGAAATTTAGACCCTTGTAGCATCCATTTAGCACACTTTTTGTGCTATTATTTTTCCAGGTGCTGTAAGTATAGAAGAATTAAGTACTTCGTCTAAAACTCTAAAGTGATATGAGTCACAGTTTGTACTTCTAAAAACTAGTATTCAGAGACAAAATTCTTTCTCATATTTCTCTCTTGTACTTCCATATTTTAGGTAATTGTCAAATCCGGACCTGGTACCTTTCTCAGCCTGGCTGTATATGATGATTATATCTTCTGGTCAGATGGAGTGAGAAGGGCTATTCTGCGTTCAAGTAAATATACAGGAGGAGATACGAAAGTTCTTCGTTCTGATATCCCTCATCAACCAATGGGCATTATTGCTGTTGCCAACGATACTAACAGTTGTAAGTTACAAAGCAGAATACACTGTTTTTTTAATTGCTGTATCATTCATTTAAAGGATTTTATAGTTAACCAGGGTTAAATGTTTCATAGTGTTTCATAAATTGTTTTTGTGTAGGAAATGTTAACAAAAGATAGGATATAACCTTTTCCCCTGGTAAATTTTATTGAATGACCATTTTCTGCTATGGGCATTGTACTCATTTGAGAGCAGTTAAATCATTTCCCATCAAATATCAGCAGTTTTGAATGTTCTGGGGTTTCAAAATTATTATACTCAAGGTAACTCCGTTTGTTTATCTTTAGTATGCCAGCATCTCAGGCATGCTTGACATTTTCATCTGACTGATAAAACTTGAATCAGTTGCCCATGAATCTGAGATACAGTGATCTTTGCTCTCTCAAAGACATTGGCCATTGAAGCAAATTTAATAAAGCAGAGTTCATCTTTTATCATTTGTTTTTTCAGGTGAATTATCTCCTTGTGCACAAATGAATGGAGGTTGTCATGATTTATGCCTTCTGACTCCTGACGGACGAGTGAACTGCTCTTGTAGAGGGGACAGAATGCTGATAGATGAAAACAGATGTGTGAGTAAGTAATACTAGCTGACACAATGCTTTTTCTATGGTGTGGTGCAGTTGGCTATTATAAGCAAAGACTGTTGGCCCCAGCCATAAATTTTATTGCTTCTACATACTGTAAAAATTGATCTGGCAATTTGTTACATACTAGGCTTTTAACTATTTTCTGTCTTAAAGCTTTTGGGGGGTTAAAGGGTTTAAATATTTATACTCACCTAAAATTCCGGTTTGGGTAGTTGTGTTCTACTCGCCATTTCCTATTTGCAATTGGTTTCGGTTGAGTACAAATATGTTAATATCATACCAAATAATTGTAACTTATTAACCAGCTGTTGTATTTAATCATGTATAATTGGTGTCTTAGTAACTGGGAAATGTTTCACTTTGAGGAGGCAGACTCCTCGGAGGACGTTTTTTTTTTGAGAATATTCTGTATTACACTGTTCTAAATTCTCCTCATCTCGCATCTTCCCATGCTTCCTCTGAACCACTGAGTCTCAGAATGTGATAAAGAACTGGTTTTTCATAGTTCAGAAATGGTTCAGAATGTGTGGTCATCCGTTGCAGCCTCTTTCACAGTGTCCCTGTGAAGATTTGATGTTTGTAAACAACGAAGCATGTGCCGGTAATTTGGAAGGATGCCATGTATGTACACACCCTGCACTCTTCAGCTTTTCTGAAAATTTGGAAAAAAAAAATAACTCTTGTCACTTTACGGAAGCCATGCCTTAGCAGGAACAGAAAGCTTTGGGCTGTTTCCCCAGGGATGATGCAAGTTTGTAATGTGGAACGTGACTTTGTGTTTCTCCCCTCAATGAGTGTGACTGGCTGGGCTCGGAGTGGAGCAAAAGCTGTGAGGGGAGCGCGCTGTTCCTCATGTCTTTGTCAGTGTCTCTGTGTTATAGCTCTTCTGCCACAGCTAGAGAACTCTTGCAAATTCTGGTGGTTTATTGAACCTTTGCCCCTGTGGGCCAGAAATCCCAACTCTTAGATCAAGTTCTCCACTTCTGTATTTATCTGCCAAGTATGCCTGTTCTGCTGCTTCAAATTCACAGCTTTGATCTACCTGCTTTCTCTAAATAAAATTTTTGGATTGTAACAGTAGAGAGACACTATAACATTCAAGAAGAATGCCATTTAAGTTTTGCACGTGGTTTAGAAATACTTACCATCCTGCTAGAAGCTTAGGCAGTTTACCTGCTTCAGACTCTTCTGTAGCAGTCTGTTGGTCGTGAACAGCCTAACAAACAACTTCTCTTCTACAGATACAGTGTCGTAGTTCAAGCCCACTGCCCAGCCTGGGAACAGAAAAACCCACAAGTGGTCTCCATCTCACTCCCTCTCCCCTCCTATTTCCACAGTGATGTGGGGGTAAAAAATTCAACTAAAAAGGGCTCAAGGGTTGATGAGGGAGGGCAGTAACCTAGCATTTAAGATGATGGGTAAAGAATGAGAGAGACTTGGGGGCAAAAACATAGATTTACTTCACCACCACCATTTACGAAGTAGGAGAGTGAGGTGAATACATCAATAAATCTGATCTGATCTTAAATACACTTCGCCCCCCACCCTGGCTTCCTCCTCCCCCTTATCACTGCAGAGGGGGCAGAGGATGGGAGGTGCAGTCCATCTGACCATTACTCATTATCCATGGCAGCTCCTTCTTGAGAAGGAGGACCCCTTGCAGTCTCCCCTTTGTGCCGTGTGGTGTCCACCTCACAGGACGCAATCCTCTTCCTCCTTGGGAGTCCATCGGGGCCACAGATCGCTTCAGGCATGTCCCTCCCTGATGCTCAGTCTCTCTCCCCTCCTGTGTGGGGCTCTGCACGTACTGATGTATCCTGGACATCCTCACCATTGTCAGTCCCCACAAGTGGCAGGCAATCCCCTTCCTGCCATCTCTGCCACCATGGGGCTCCAGGGAGAGGTCCTGCTCTGGCAGCCTTCTCCTTCTCCTCTGGGACTCTGCTCCTCCGCTTTCTTCTCAGGATGAGAAGATGTTCTCAGGATGTCCTCCTCTCACCTCCCCCGCCTCCAACAGAATAACTCCCCAAAATACTTAAATACTCCCTTAAATACCTTGATGGCAGAGGTGCTGACTGGGCTGGCCCTGGCCAGAGGCAGGTCCGGGTCCTACCTGGAGGTGAGGGAGGCTTTTGGAGCTTCACAGGAGTCTACTCTTACTTTTCCAAAAACCTGACGGACTCAAACCAATGACACAGAGTCACTTTTTAAAATGCTACTGTGTATGTGGAGAGCTGTGTTAGTGTGAGCTATGAAGAGATGCAGTCCATCATCAACATGCCTGTACTGGTTATTTGGCAAAACTACCCTTTTACTAACAGTTTGTTTTGCTCATGCCACTGATAGTTTCAATGCTAGAATGATATTAGGCTTTCCTGGTATGCATGAGTCAATAGTATCTTAATAACCAGAAAGAATACTCTTGTTTCATGATCAGTTGAAGAGCAAGAAGGAAGAGTGCTTCTAAGGACAGTCCTATTCTCCTGCAATACACCTTTCATCAGCAGTCAAGAGTTGTATAACTGAATGATGAGTTAACTAATGTGCTTGACTGGGAATTAGAATTTTTTGGTTAGAGATCTAGTTTTGACTGGATCAGCAGCACCTATTCAGCTTGACACTGCAGGGTCACTAGAGCCAGTTCAAGAGAACTAGTGAGAACAGAGAAGTGTGATGAGGTAGACAGTAGAGTTACACCTTTCAGTACTGATGTGATTTTAAACTCTCTCAAAGCATCCTTAGGACTGGATGCCATTCCTTTAAAATCAGATTCTTAGGCTTGGCAGCCCAGCTACACAACTTTGTGAGGTGTGATTCGTCTTGAATCATACCAAGCTAATTGCTTGGTTATTGTACCTAAGATTTTAATCCTAAGATTTTTTTTGCCATGTTTATTTTGGATCCTTAGTTTTGCTTAACTTCCCAAAATATTGCTGTTAAATGAAAACAGATGCATACATTAATAATCCATATAATCAGTGTAGTCATACAGTAGCTACCAACACGTCTCAAATAAGTGAATTGCTACAGTTTTATTCTCCATTTTCACACGCTTTACAGTTCATCTTCCACCCTTACCTTTGGCTCACAAATAAATGTTGTTGTTAGTTGTTAACTGAGTATTTACATAGTGCATTATAAGGTCACTGAGATGTCCCAGAAAGATTTAGTTCTGTAGTGAAATAAATGGAAGTGTGAAGGTTAAAATTCTTATCCTTCACAACAGGGAATGTACAGCTGTTCTAGAGGCAAGATGCAAGAGTAAAGTAATGTACAACTACCTTGTCTTCCGTTTACATTTCTTACTCAAAAACTACTTTATCTAGCTATATAATTGAGATACAATGAATTTTACAGATGATTTGCAGTGATAAAGATTTTAATTTAAGCTCTGATTCTGTTTCAGAGTAGCAGACTTTAGTCTAGTAACAGTAATGAAATTGTATGGACGTGAATCTGATCGTCAATGGTTCAAAGATATTAATTAAGAGTTTGCTATTTTACTAAAGACATTTTCCACTAGAGCCAAGTATTTCTGCTTCCTGCAGATGGAATATTACTACCATGCTTATATAATCACCTTATTTCACCCTCCCACACTGTCAGGTTTTGCTGATTTTGATCACATAAGACACCTCTCATCACTGGGAAGTTTCCTTAAGAAATAAAATTTCTGAGGGTAGGGTAATGTACAGGAACTGCTAAAGACTTGGAATTATCTGCACTGCCTTCTGTGATTCTGGTGAGGAATTTTCCCTTCCTTGCTAGGCAGGCAAGACCCTAATGTGTTTTTTTACTTCCTCAAAGCAGGGCTGAAACCTCACTGGCTGATAAAGAAGACAAGATCAAATTGTAGCAGGTTAAAAATTTAGTCAATGCTTGGTTAAGGTATTTATATCATGAACAGTCTGGCTTCCTAGGTTAATGAGAGTCAGAGAAAAATACAAAGAAGAGTTGGAATTCTTAATGTCTGGAGCAGTACGGAGACAAAGTTTTTGCTAGTCCTTATTTTAACTTAATGAAATGTAAAGGATGTTATTTATTTCATGTAATGGTTTAAACTCATTGGAGAGAAAGATGGCTGCTGGCATCTCAAAGAGCCTAAAAAGACACAGTCCAGATGAAAAATGTAACTGCCATTATGGTGGTAAAATAGTATTTTATTACTAATAATTATGATTTTTACAAATCTATCATAATTACTACTGAGATGGGTAAAAGTCTGTAGATGCATCCATCGGGTCTGTCTAGCGCTGTATTGGGTGAGTTACTGAAGTTGAACTTTAATTAAAGCACTTCATCTCACCAGCTTGTTTACCTTTGAGGCAGCCATCAGCAGTGGAAATAAAAGAGATTGAGCAGATAAATTCATAGGTCCAGTAGTATATTTTGTAATACTACGTGCAATTTATATTGTCCAAAAAGCACTGCAATTATTGACATGGCTACAAGGTATAACAGTGTTTAAGTCCTTAACTAGATCATGATGTAATGTTATATATTCTGAATTATTTTATAGAATGTTTGCAGAAAATGTTCATCTGAGTTATTAGTTAAAAAGTCCAAGACGTTAATCATTGGTGTTGACTAGCCCAGAGAGGATGGGAACAAGACAGACTAGTTTAGCTCTAAAATCAAAAGTTTCTTTGTAATACAGTTGAAAAGGATACTCAATAAAATTGAAAGTTAGCAATTCCAACTGAGAAGAAGAATTAACTGTCCTTTCAAAGTGTAATTAGATTATATAACTTACTGCCAGTCAAGATTCTTGAGACAAAGCTTAAGAAAAATTAAAAGAGCAGTTGGATGATTACATGGGTAATAAGACTACCCAGAATACTTACTTCTCATCCAAGAAACAGTTTTGAAATGCTTTGTTTCTGAAAGTTGGGAAAGTTCTGACAGCCGTTAAAAATTACGTGTTAAATGTGTTTTCTTTTTAGCTAAAAATTCTACTTGCAACATTTACTCCGAGTTTGAATGTGGAAATGGTGAATGCATTGATTATCAGCTGACGTGTGACGGCATCGCTCACTGTAAGGACAAGTCTGATGAGAAACTTTTTTATTGTGGTGAGTATTTCCAGATGTTTCACAAGCATGTTCTTATTTCAGTTATACTTTGGTTCCTCTGTGACTTTTCTACTCACCAACATGCCCAGGAAGAAAATGCTAACTCGTGTATTAAGGAAACCTTGTTATTATATGGATGGAGTTCCTTACACCTGAACATATTTTCCTTGCAAACTGCATGTATTAGCTGACGTTAATAAAAGGCATCTCAAATGTTGTTATATTTCTGCCCCTAACAATAAGGAAAACCACAGCTAACTGCTTTTTCAAAGATGAAAAACTAAGTATTTTCAGCTTTGATTTAGCCAATTAGCATTTTGATTTAGGTTTCCATATTTAATACAATTTTCTCTGATTGTAACTAGAAAGCACTAAAATAGAAGTAATAAAACCAGCAAAAATGACTGAGTAATAGATATCTTTCCACTCAGGGTGTCTGCTCATTGCTTTCGTAAGTTTCCCAAGGGATTCTATCCTTATCTGTTTTTTCCCCTAATAATCATTAGTTGAATTAGTTCCAATTTTTTTTATGTCCAACTAAGTTTGCTTGCTGCAGTGTCTAAAACAACATTGTTCAAATAATTTTCCTCGAGTCACCTCAGGATTCAAGTATCCTGCACTCTAAGTGAAATCTTGTTACCTATGTGTCCGTGATTTTTGGCTTTTATCTTGTCCTACACATCTGTATCACAGCCTAGGCATCTCTTCTGCTTCCCATGGGAACAATAGCCTGCAATTTCAAACCCACCTGTTATGTTTATACCTGCCACCTTTGTAGTTTTATGAAAATGCCTACTTTAATTCCTGGAGTTCATTTTAAGGTGTTTAAAATTGACACTGGAAAAAGGAAACACAATGGCTTTCATTTTTGTTTTTATTTCCTGTAAAAAAAAAAAAAGAAAATTAACACCAACAATCACAGTATAACAGCTGGTACTATGTTATTTTTTTTAATTCTCTCATCTTCATTTGATTCCCTGTTAGCTTTCAGACTTCTGTGTGATAATTGCTTTGATCATGTCATGTAAAACTAACAGTAACGCTCCATCAGATCATCTACATGTAGATGACTGAAGAGGCTGATTTGTTTAAATCTGGAAAAAGATAACAGCAAAGATGTGAAGTCAGAATCTGGAGTACACAAAACACTAGCTACCAGGGGGGAAAGGCCCTTGAATTACAAGCGACAGCTTCAAAGCACTGAAAAATAGATGACTTGTGGTTGTGAATTCTTAGGTTTCTTTGCAGAGTATTTTATTTATGTACATGTACTGCTTAAACTTAAGAAGTAATTTAAGAAAGAAAAACTACCCAAATCGAAAATAAATTTTATATATATAT